CTGCAGGGTACGGGGCCTGGTCTCCGCCTAGAATGATTTTGTGAAGCGGTTTCCTGCCGCTCAGTTAAAGTGTAACCAGTCATTTAACCGGGGCAGGAAAGGAAGGGAAAAGGCTGGGAATGGAATGACATTTTTCCCCTGGGTACGCAGACCCACTGCGAAATTCTTCCACTGGGTTGTTTGTGTTCCCCAGCTTGCCTTTAAAAGACTCGAAACTATCTGGATTCTGACATCCTCCTTTTCGGGCCTGCTGAGTCACGGAATATTCTCAGTGCCAGAATGACTCAGTTCACAGAACCCGGGCCAGAAGATCATGAGTTTTAGTCCCAGATCAGAACCCGGGCACTTAACCAGGGCTGATACGGCCAGCAGAGACCGGGCCAGGGAGGGTGTGGTGAAAGGGGACCGGTCCCAAGCCAGCGGTTTTTAAACCTCTGGAATCCCCAAGCAAAGAGGATGTGCGTAGTGGATGAGACGGATTGGGGGGTTTTGTTGTTTTTACGTCTCAGGACCTTAAAGATAAGGTGGGGATAATAAACACACGGCAAAAACGAAGCAAAAAAACCCACACACACTCATGTTTTTGGACCCGTTCGTCCCGTTGAGCTAGGGATAGTGGGCATCTGAAACAATAAAACAAGTAAATGTTAGGTGACTGTAGGGAGGGTGGGGGTTAAGGAAGATGGTCTGGTTGGATGAAGATGGGAGGGGATCCAGGGACTTGCTGCAATGCGGAGCTTGCTTAGCAGGGACCTTGATCATTGTCAGGTTTATTTGATGAGATGGATGGAGATTATGCCTGGCTGAAGGTCTCTAACCCCTCACTCTTGGCACCTTCTCCTTTGGAGAATAAAGTTGTGGGGACCAAAATAGTGTTTTCATCCTTTCTTATTTGAGTTGCAGCAAAATCGGTTATGATCACGTAGACCTAGAGAGAATGATCTTCTCAGGCCTTCATTGTACAAAAAAGGGCATATAGGACAAAAAAAGGATGTTAGCTGTAAATAAAACTACAGATATGTATAATAAACATAATTATATCATCATACTAATGCATTTGCCTTATTATGCGTTTGTGGTACTTTGCCAGATATTAGCAAACCAAAGAGTGAATCTCTGCAACAGTCAGAACAGATAGAAATAAGGACACCCAAAGGCTGCAGAATTAACATAAATGTGTTTATCACCATTCCCTTTTGGGTCCTAATGTTTAAGATTAACTTCAAGCTTTCAGTTATGCTAATTTGCTCATAGCTTAATTAAATTACCAAAACCTATCTGATATCTGTACGGCACATAAAGAGACCTTGAACTGATCTCTGAATTCTGTTGCTCATGGAAATGAGTTACAGTGACAAAGAGGTATCCATTTTGAAGAGGGGGTGAAATGTAACCAGTCAGTGTGTTTGATGTTCAACATTTTGCTCCATTGTTTGGATCTTGATTCAAATAAACCAAAGGTCGGGACAAAATTTTAAGGACAATTTGGGAAATTTGACCATTAACTAGATATTTGATGATATTAACAAGTGTTTTAGGTACCTAGAGATGCCACAGTTTACTAAGATTTGGTAGAGAGAGACAGAAGAAAAGCAAAGGTGTGTAAGATTTTATTTTATTGCAAGTCACCCTAATTTTCCATTCCACCCTGAATTGTACCCCACATCCTAAAAATAAAATGTTTTTAAAAATTTAAAGCCAGACTTGGTGGCTCAGCCTGTAATCCCATGCCTTGGGAGGCTGAGATGAGTGAATTGCCTGAGCCCGCAGGTTCGAGACCCGCCTGGGCAACTTGGTGA